TGACATATTTTTCTGTTTTCTTATGCAAAATTGCGTCATGACTTAGTCAACATCTCAAGAGCTTAGTGACTGCAGTGCTGGAAACTACATCAGTTTTAAGTTTGGACCCTAAGGCAACCTAAAACATGCCGGTATGTTTGCCCCAAGATTCTTTTTTTGGGGGGGTGGGGGAGAGGTTTGTTTGCTGTAATGTGCGTGCGCTCACCAGAAAGACAGAGATAGAGAGACAAAAAGTGAGAAATCACCCCCCAGGGGGGAAGGCCATGCTGCAATCCCTTCTTCTCCATTCTCCTCTTGGGATCTTTGGCATGCATACACCACTGGGTCTGGGATGCAAATTGGGGTGGTTGACTACATGGGAGTCCAGCAACATAGCCATTACGCTAACTGCTGGTCCCACCCCCAAGATTCTGACTAGCTAGAAAACGGGGGGATGATTGTGGCATGATGAAAACTCATTAAGGGTATCCACACTTCCTGTGCACTTGCTCGTCCTCATGAAAACAAAACAAAACAAAACAAAAACCTTAAAAAAAAAAGTCAATGACTTAGAAAAGATATTTAGTTATCATAAGAATTTTTTTTGAAACCTTAAGTCAAAAGAAAATGAAGTAATATATTTAAGATACTCAGAAAAATCTAATGTGAGTCAAGAACTTTGAATCTAGCAAAACTGACTTCAAATATGAAGGACACAGGGACCAGCAGATAGTGTAATGATTACAGAGCTGAACTTCCATGTAGTTGACCATGGTTCAAGTCCAGACCAGGTGGTTTAAAAATCATGCTGGGTACATGTGCATGCATGCCCACAATCCCAAGAGGAGAATAGAAGAGAAGGAATTTTGGCATGGCCATCTCCCCTGGAGGGGTCATTTCTCACTTTCTATCTCTCTGTCTCTCTGGTAAGCACATGTACCTTATAGCAAAAATCTCTCTAAAAAATAAATAAAATAAAGGACACAGATGTTATCAGCATGCCAGCAGTCAAAGATAATTGTTCCCATGAACCCTTGATGAAATATTTACTAGAGAACTTCGGACAAAAAATTCCTACAAAGACATTCATATAAGAATAGGCTATACTAGTTGTGAACACAAAATATAAACCTACTTGTAGAAGTAAGAGGTAGAAGAAGGATTATGTGCACAAAAGGGAGAATATGCTTTGATCACCTAAATATAAATACAATCTATATTTAAAATGGGGGAGGATGGGGAGAGCATAGGCACAATCCAATTTTTAACTCTTCAGTAATCATATTGGTAATGATGGCATAAATACTGTTATTCAGAGACTGGGGTGAGAAAAAGCAAATGAGTAGTTATGGGATATACTACTTTTATTCTGCTATATCTTTAAGAAACAACAGAGGAAATACTGATGTAATTTCGGAGAAGTTACATGAGAATGGTTTAGTAATGATTGTAAATTGAAAACTTTAACATGAACTCATGGAGCATTTTTATCTTTAAAAATGCACAAATATTTCCTAATTATCTACTGAAAAAATCCAGAAACAGAACCAACTCAGCAGCAAATCAACATCCTTTGCACCTAGATTATGGTTTGAAATACTATTTCCTGCTACTAGAAATCAGAACTTCTTGGAAGAATGGCTATTCCCATCTGGGGCAGGAAATGTACAAGACTTCCTGCTGACTCTGGTATATCCTCTCATACCAAGCAGCAAAGATTGCTATAGTTATGTCAAAAGAACTCAAGAGATAACCTGATAAGACACTCTCTGATCTGATACAAATTTTAACTTAAAGAAAAATTTGTAATGGATTTAAAAAATGTCAAGTAAGTTTAATGGGTTCATAATGATACTTACAAATAGTTACCTTTAAGGAACAATAGGGAATGGATTTATTATTGGAAAACTGGTAAGGAGAAAGAATCACGCATTTATCCTGTCCTTCTTCTATGAACAAAACTGCTGGCTATCTAAAGTATAGATAAGAGAAAGTACCTTTCGATAGACAGCATTCAACTAATAGCTTTAAAACAATCATAAAATCAGAATATCACCATTTTGTAAACCTGATGAATTAAAGAATCCAGGCACTGAGCATTAATAGCTGCTACCATCCCCCAAAGGAGAATCAACCACAAATTACATGGCCCTTAAAGTACCACTTACAGCTTTGCCAAAGGGATTGAACCTATATCCGAATAAGCGTCTAGATTAATCTAAAGGAATTCAAAGGACGAGGAAGTGGAACTGCACCATGATGCAGTCAGCAAAATCCAGAGTATGAGAACTCCACAGAAGGAAGGAAAAGAGTGAGATGGGCAAGGCAGGGCTGTAGAAGGAAAGAAATTAGAAGGATTTATCAAGTTCATTATTTTAAAAGGAAAAACTAAACTATACACTCGAGGGTGGTACATGTTGGTAATAAAAAATCAAAAGAAATGCAAGAAAACTTACCATAAAAAGATAGTGGTTACTTTTGGAGGGAATAGAAAGGGAAACTGATTAGGGTGGGCATGCATGGAGGACTTAGTAGCTGGTGAGGTTTTAATTCTTGTCGTGGACCAGGGCTGTAAGTCATTTGTCATATAATCATTACGTTTTACTTACTTTCAGATTTGGGAAAAAAAAAAAAACAATACGTTGCAGCAAGGATATACTAGAATTGTGAATGTTCTAAAGGACAGGAAGATTTCCATAGTGGAATATGTGTGGGAATGATCAAAATAAATGATGAACCTAACATTTTACCCTACCATATTTTCTGTCTCTCTCCTTTTTCTCTCATCTTAGAAAACAATCCTAAATCTCAATCCTGCTATTTCACAGGATAAAGCTTAAGAAGGCTAACAAGCAATTACTGGAAGAATATCTGCGTATCCTTGGGCTAGGGTCTACACATTACCTCATTTTATCTTTATGTCCTACAACCATGACCTGAAAGTATTAGCATAGTGGGTTAGGATGCCATGCTTCTCCCCTATCTCCCTTAGGGGACTATTTACAGTTTAACAGAGAATGCCTGAATTCCCAATGCTCTTAAAAAGGCTAAGCAAGATAGAACTATTTGGGTACATCCTCTCCACAACTTAATTAAAAGGATAATTATCCAAGCATTGTGTTTAATAGGGAAAAAAGAAAACCCTAAATATCCAACAACCGTTGGTATAGTTATTATACAACTAAAATGATGCTACAGATGAACGTTTATCTACAGTATCATTTACTAAAAAGAAGTTACAATTTTCCCATTTGTTTCAAATATATGTGCATGGCTATGCACGTAAGTCTGGAAATAAAACCAAGTTTTAATGTGTGTCTCTCTTAGTTACAGGAATGGAAGTGTTTGAAAATATTTTCTTTTTGTTTATTTGCATTAACTATTTTTTTCTATACTGCATATACATTGCTTATTGGGAGTAAAAAAATAGGTAATGTCCTTTTTTTTCTTACTTTAGTTTTAGTTTTTGCTATTTGTTATAGGGTGAGTACATTCGCCAGAGAGAGACAGAGAAAGTAAGGTCATGCTGCAATCCCTTCTCCATTCTCCTGTCAGGATTTTGGGCATGCATGCACACATGCTCAGTGTGATTTTCAAACTGTCGGGTCCAGGACTCAAAATGACAAAGTTGGCTATGTGTAATCCAGCTGCCTTAACTTCCATGCCACCTGCTAGCCCCAATAGGTAATTTCTTTCTTTCTTTTTTTCTAAGAGAGATTTTTGGTATACAATGTGTGCACTTGTCAGAGAGAGAGAGATGGAGAGAGAGAAAGCAAGAAATCACCCCCCAGGGGGGATGGCCATGCTGTAATCCCTTCTCCTCCATTCTTCCCTCAAGATTTTAGGCATGCAGGCACACATGTCCAGTGTGATTTTAAGCTGCCGGGTCTGTGACACAGCACATGCGAGTCCAGCGACATAACCCTTATACTATCTGCTGGCCTCAGCACTACTTTTCTTTTTTTAAAGGTGTTTGCCATGGGCTACATGAGCTTGCTGGAGAAAGAGAAAAGGGCAAGTGAGAAGTCACCCTCTAGGGGGGACTGTGGCCATGCCACAATCCCTTCTTCTCTCGGGACTCTGGGCATGTACTAAGTGTGATTTTCAAGGCTTCGGGTCTAGGAATTGAACCATGGTCAGCAACGTGGGAGTTCAGAGCCTTAATCACCACCTACTGACCCATAAACACTAATTTTTTTTTTAAGAGGTTTTTGCTGGGAACCAGCAGTTAGCGTAATGGCTATGTCGCTGGACTCCCACGTAGTCGACTGCGGTTCGCGTCCCGGACCTGGTGGCTTAAAACTCAAGCCGGACGCGTGTGCGTGTCTCTCTGTCGCCAGACAGAGAGACAGAAAGCGAGAAATCACCCCCCAGTGGGGATGGTCATGCCGCAATCCCTTCTCCTCTGTTCCCCTCTCTGGCTCTTGGGCACGCACGCACACACGCCCAGCGTGAGTTTTAAGCCACCAGGTCTGGGACCCCCGGGGAGGTCTGTAAGGCACCTGGAGTGTCCAGCCCCACCCTGCATTGGTTTAATTGCCCACACTGGGACTCCATCTTTTCTTTTCTAAGTTTATTTCTTCCCCAAGCAACAGAAATAGAGACAGCACCCCCAACAGGGTCTTGATGTCACAGTCTACAGTCAACCTCAGCCAGCCTCAGGATTGTGAGCTTGAGTGTGCATGGCATATGCAGAGAGGTCTCTGGATATGAACCTGGAACCTTCCTGTGTGGTTGGGCCTCACAGAGCGTCATGTTTTACTGCTGTGCCACCATTCACCCTCTTGTGCAGTGTTTTTTATTAGATGGTTTTTGCTCCTGAACAACTCTATAGCTATTATTCTTCTCATTTTACAAACAAATCGAGGTCTAAAAAGATTAAACAACTAACTCAAAACACATCAAGCACAAGAGCCAAGATCAGAACCTACACTTTACCACTGTAGAGCCGGAGTCCTTTTTCCCATCACACTCAGTTGATTCATGAGTCACTCTAACCTTAATTACTAACACAATCTCACCTTATTGGCAACAGCATTAACACTTGGCCGGGCATCAAATATAAAGATTTTGTGAGACTGTGCGTTGGAATCCATGATGGCTTGAAGGTATTTTTCATCCTCTTTGCTTCGTTTTCCACTCACTCCGACCATGGGCTGGCTACACCGGGTGACTGTGGCTTGACTTTCAGGATGAATCCATGATAAAACCTTAGTGAGGGAAAAGAGGGTTACGTCCATTTGTAGTCTTCTTGGTTTATAATTCATCTCAAAAAAGTTCTGCTTTTACTAATAAATATGTAAATAAAACTTCTAAAATGTGGCATATTTAGTCTCATTTTAAGGTGTTTGAGTCTATATCAGTAAAACTGCCCAACTCTAAAGTCTTCAAAATCTTTTAATTTTATACCTAAAGTTATTTAAGTTGATCTTTTTAGGACACAGTCATTAATCATAAACAAGCAAAGTTTTCTTCTGTATGTTCTTGGCTACAATATATAATAAGATAAGTGATAATGCACAAGGCAAATTTTGTTTTCCAGTTAAGAATCATGCAATCATGTGCAGGTATCCAATACCCATGCCAACCAGACACTCGAGAAAACTGAAACGACTCCATCTCCAATATCCCCATAAACGACCTGCTGCTGAGGTGTTTTATCCTGCACCCATTCCCTCATTCACTAATCTCAGCATCAGGCAGAGTATAAACCACCTGCAAAGTCTTAGCAAAGTTTCATATTTACTGGGATGCGGCCCCTTGATCTGAAGGACGCCACTCGCTTTAATTCTTCATCAGGAATATTTGCTGGCACAACCAAGAGGGCGGGGTACGTATCACAGAGCTCATAGCGTTCATTTATCTTTGTTATTCTCCAGCTTTCATTTGGAATTCCCTGCATGTGAGTAAAAGATAAGACAAATTATTACCTAACTGACATATGAAGACACCAGATCAGAATCCATTCCAGCGACCTCCTCTTATCTCTACTATCCATCTCTTAAAAACTGTTGATACTATTATTATCTGACCTATGATGGCCAGTCTTTTAGGATTAGACATTCTTTTTTTTTTTTTTTTTTTTTTGAGAGAGAGATTTTTGCTCTCTTTCTGGCATGTGTGCTCACCAGAAAGAAAGACAACAAGAAATCAGCCCCCCCGGGGGGGGGCATGCCACAATCCCTTCTCCTCCATTCTCTTCTTGAGATCTTGGGCATACATGCACATGCAACCAGTGTGTTTTAAGCCATTAGGTCCAGGACTCGAACTGTGGTCCACTATGTGGGAGTCCAGCGTCATAATCATTACACCATCTGATGGTCCCAGGATCAGACATTCTAATGTGGAGGTCTGTATTCATTTTGGTACCCTGTTTTATGTTTACAGATTTATTATTAAATACTAATCTCATGTGATCTGTGCTAAGCATATCTAGGGGAGAAGGAAACACTATGACTTCAAATGCTCCCAGTCTTTAAAAGAGTCCCCAGTCTCATTCAGCTTGACTGGATGACTGATTTTTCTGCCACTCATCTAGACAAAGAAAGCCCCCAGGGCAGGCACCCAGTGAATGCTCTAAACATAGTTAGCACTTTCACAGCCACAGTGAATTTATCGTATTAAGATTTATTAATTTCACTTTATAGATGAAAAAACTGTGGCACAGTCTTTAATTTGACCAAAACTATATATAACTCCTTTACACAATCCTTTAAAACAGTACCTAATACCAAGTAGAAAATGAAGGCATTGTGATGTAATGACTCATTCAAGAGCACACGCCTATATGTGAGAGTTCTAGCTGAAACCAAGTCTTCTAAAAGTTCTAGAACTTGAGTATGGTACTCGAATATGCTAAAAACCAATAGACTGCATATTTCAAAATAGTGAATTTTATGCCACTTGAGTTATTTCTCAACTTTTATAAAAGAGGAAGGTCTCTATGTTCTGAGATGGTCCAATCATCAAAATATATTCCATGAAAAAAGTATACAAAATTGTGCATACTTTATACAAATGAGCTTCAAAACACTGAGTACAAATACATACACACCTTTTATAAAGACAGTCTTTGCAAGGATGTGCAGAAAATCAGTAAAATTATTTCCTGAAGGGAGAAGAGGCGGGGGGCAGGGTTGCACTGGAACAGAAAGCTACTTTTCTGTATACCCTTTTGGACCTTTTGAATTTCATAAAGAATGCTAAGTGTTACTATTCCATGTGTTTTTCAACTTAAACACATACACACACACACACACACAAATGTCCTTATGCTTGATCTTAAGTCTTAAATTCTCTTAAATGAAGAACCTATACTTCTACTGTAATCTGCCTTGCTCCATGAGACTACCCGAAGCAATTTATTTTAATTCACACACCTTCTGTAAGGTTCACTAGGTTTCAAACTACTCTTCAGCATTCATATACATGAAACGTAAGCAAGGTTTTGGGAATGTTCTCCTTAGTCTTAGTGTGTCCTTCTTAGTTACAATTAAAATAAATTTTGAAACTGTTTCTCCCAATTATCTGATTGATATAAATATGTATTTACATACGTATAAAACATGTATATTTCTCAGTAACAGTTGAAATCTTTACTATAGCCCTTACAATTTTATCTATAAAAAGTGATAGTCTCTCAGTATAGAAATCCAATTTTTTTTTCTTTTTTAGAGAAATTTTTTCTATAGAGTGCATGTACTCGCCAGAGAGATAGAGACAAAAAGCAAGAAATCACTCCCCAGGGGGGATGGCCACACCACAATCCCTTCTTCATTCTCCTCTTGGGCACACAAGCACACATGCCCGGCTTGAGTTTCAAGCCATCAGATATGGTACACAAACTGCAGTTGGCCATGTGGGAGTCCAGCGGTGTAACCATGACGCCAACTGCTGGTCCCTAGAAATCCAATTTTTTAAGAAGTTACTTTGATATTGGAAAAAAGTCTATAGAGTAATGGTGAAGCACATAGTCCTGGAACCATTCTTCCTGGATTCAAATTCTAGTTCTCATACTCAGTAATTATGTTACTGTGTGCAGACTACTCAAGGTTCCTGAGCAGCATTCATATGCTAGCGGATAATATTAGTATGTAACTTAATAATTATTATGAAGATCAAATGAATTAATATTTATGAAATGCTTAAGAAAAAGCCAGGCATATCAATGTTCCATTTATGTGATTTAGTAAATACAATCAATATATGCTAGAGGCTTATTAGTTGACCAATATTTACAGAGCACAGCCTATGAACAGAACACTTTCCTAAGCTTCATTCATGCATTCATTCATCTAACAGATGCTTATTGGCTATGATGTGCCAGGCATTGTGTTACATCCTGAGAGTACGGCGGTGAGAAAACAGATGCAGTACCTGCCCTCTTGGAACATGAAAAATACCAACGAAATTAGAGAAATGATCCCTTCTAAAGCTGGTAACACTGATGATGAACAATGTAAATAGTTTCAAAAGAAAGAAAAAGAAAAAAAAGAAAAAAGAAAGGAGTAGACAAACAGTAAATATCAAATTAATGGAATCAAAGTAGAATGCACTATATTGGGTCATTTGACAAATCATGATATATTTATTCTTGTTTTCCTATGAAAAAATGCATCATGACTTTTCTGACAACACAATACTTGAACACACCATAGGAGCTTGAGCTGCATATTAAATAATATAAATGATGTTATTGGGGCCAATAGATGGCATGGTGGTTAATGTGCAGGACTCCCACATTGCCGACAACTGTTCAGGTCCCAGATCCGGTGGCTTAAAACTCACACTGGGTGTGTGTGGGCATGTGCCCAAAATCCCAGGAGAAGGGACTATGATGTGGCCAAGCTCCCTGGAGGTTGATTTCTTACTTTTCCTCCCACTGCCTCTGTCTATCTCTCTGGCAAGTGCATGCACCATATGACAAAAATCATATGTGAGTGTGTATATATATTTATCTATATATTTATATATAATTATGAACATATAAATTTTATATATAAATAGTTATGAATTCATGTCATTATGTAGACATAATTTCTGTTCTGATTACTGACCATAGTCGATCAACATGGTCCTTAGAAAAACATAAGAGAAAGAATAATGTATTTTCTGTGAGGATATAAAACTTTCAAAATTTGATGTGGAGCTAAGTTGTAAGCAGTGGAATTCAGAAATTTTTTCAAAAGTAAATTATAGGATACCCAAAAAAGAAACATCTGAGTAAATGATGTAGAATGGCATATAGGAATACTGACACTTAGCATCTTATTATTTTTATCTTTAAAATTATTAAACATTTTAAAAATAAATTGATTACTTATAAACTGTAAGAAAAGATTTTAAAAGATCAAGGGGATATTCCATAAAGCAGCCAAAAAAACAAGAGCAGTCAATCAGGATTAGTTTTCATTTAAAAAACAAAACAAAACCTTAAACCAAAACAAACCAAGGCCTTATATAAAGCTATTTCCTGCTACATATGAAGTTTTCTTTGTAATAGAAGGAATGGAGAATATTAAAATTGCAAGGGAAGAAGTACATACCTGTCTTCTATATTCTAAAAGAGGGTCGTATAACTTCCACCCATTTTCAGGGAATACTTCTTTATATTCAAAAGCAAAAAGAGGCTACAAAAAAAGTAAGCAGAGTTAGTAACTAAAAAAGACATTTCAGAAGGTAATGAATCAGAAATGTATCCCTATCATACTCAAAGTTTTTATTTACTTATCTGAAGAATATTTTGTAGTGGTAACCTTCGTTTTCATCATTTTAGTCTTATCATTTTAAATATTTTCAATACATATTTTTCAAACACACAGAAAAGCATGGGGACCCACCAAAAAATTTATCAAATGCTAACATATATTTTCTTCAGATATCTTTGATAACTTTCAAAAGTTTTCTTTTAAATACTGAAAGAAGTTATTTTTTTAAAAGTCATCTTGATGTAATTAACTAGGTTGACATCATAGGTGTGACTACCATAGGCAGCTATGAAGTTCACACTACATTTTCTAAAATACAATGAATAAACATGCAATCTGTAGTATAAAACAAATATTAGGTTATCATTTTTATAAAAATAGTAACAGACACAATTATGATTTTAAAAATTGAAATGGAAATGAGACCAGTGTTGACTCCAAATTCTACTCCCCACTAGCTACGCCCTTGAGTTAATTGCCTGTCTAATCCTGGTTTCATCTCGCTAATAGAGAGAAAATATCTACCATCATCGGAAGCCTAATACTGTTGTTAGTACATAATAGAAACTTAGTCAACTTTTCCTCCCCAACTGCTAGACTTAATTGCTCCCAAGCAAATAAAAAGATGAAGATCACGCAGAATTTTTAATAAGAGAAACACCCCAGATAAAAAGAACCAAAGGGGGCGGGGGCAGCAGGTAGTGTTAAGGCACTGGATTCCCACATGGCTGATCATGTTTCAAGTACCAGACCTGAAGGCTTGAAACTCATGCCAGGTACTTGTGCATGTGTGCCCAGAAAGGAGGACTGTGGCATGGTTATCCCCAATGGAGGTGACTTCTCACATTCTCTCTCCCTGTCTGTTGAGCACATGCACCCTACAGAAAAAAAAAAAAATCTCAAAAAAATAAAAAAGATAATTCAGAAAATTCACAGAAAAAAATAAAAGTAAAGGACTTATTAATTAAAGGGTTTACTTTGGTACAAAGAAGTTTTGAAATCCTGCACACAGTTTTTTCATAACAGGCATTTCCCAAAGTTTTCTGAAGATCCTTCATATAATTATAGAATGTTCACAGTGGGATGGACTTTGACAATCAGCTAGTCCAGGTTCCCCAATTCATATCTACAGAAACTGAGAGATTAGGTTAAACCTAACCTATGAATCTGGTTAAATAACAAAGCAGGGACATAAATGCCAAGATTCTAGATAACCTAGAAGGTTTCTTTATACTACCTCTAATAATACACATTTTTTTTTTCAAAAATAAGAAACGTTTTACCAGGTTATTAGAGACAGGAAACGCATATTTCATTAGATTCTCAAATATGGATCTTCTTGTCCGCCCCTCAGGTTTATGAGCAAATCGTAAATTCCTAATGTCCTAGAAAAGATTTGGGATCTATGTTAATCATGGTTTGTTCGCTATTTACTTAATGAGTAAATAAGGGTTCTTACAACTATCTTGTAAAATGTTAAGATCTGTGAATTAGGATTCAAAAAAAAAAAAAATCAATAGCTCCCAGAGGCCGGAACTTATAATGGCCTATTGTGATCAATAAAAAGAAACACATGGCATTCTAATTCAGGGCAGAATTATGCTTATGGACTTAAGATAGGCTAATGAAAGAGGAGGCATTTGATATAAAACCTGGAGACTGGAGATGCTGAATTTGAAGCTTAGTATGGCTGATATGTGGTATGTCCTTTCC